GGCTGATGGTTTTTCATAAATAGCCTTTATTAAATTGAGGTATAGACCATCTATTCCAATTTTTTGCAGGGTTTTTATCATGAATGGGTGTTGAATTTTATCAAATGCTTTTTCTGCATCTATTGAGAGGATCATATGGTTTTTGTCCTTGACTTTGTTAATATAATGTATTACATTCACTGACTTTCGTATGTTGAACCACCCTTGCATCTCTGGAATAAATCCGACTTGGTCATGATGGATGATCTTCTTAATAATCCTCTGTATTCTGTTTGCTAGTATCTTATTAAGGATTTTTGCATCTATATTCATTAAGGAGATTGGTCTGTAGTTCTCCTTTTTAGTTGTATCTTTCCCTGGTTTGGGAATCAAAGTGATACTTGCTTCCAGGAATGAATTTGGAAGTATAGCTTCCCTTTCAATTTCATTGAAAAGTTTGAAGAGTAATGGTAGTAGTTCTTCTCTAAATGTCTTGTAAAATTCAGCAGTGAATCCATCAGGGCCTGGGCTTTTCTTTGTTGGTAAGTTTTTAATTACATTTTCAATTTCACTGATTGTGATTGGGGTGTTTAAAATGTTTTTATCTTCTTCATTCAACTTTGGTAATTCATAAGTATCTAGAAATCTGTCCATTTCTTCTGTGTTTTCCATTTTATTAAGAGTACAGGTTCTCAAAGTAGGTGTTCATGATCCTCTGGATTTCTTTTGGATCTGTTGTGACTTCGCCTTTTTCATTCCTGATTGCATGGATCTGAGCCTTTTCCTTCCTTTTTTTTTGATAAGATTAGCTAAGGGTTTGTCAATTTTATTTATTCTTTCAAAAAACCAGCTCTTTGTTTCATTTATTTTTTGCATCGTTTTCTTAGTTTCAATTGCATTGATTTCTGCTCGGATCTTTATAATTTCCTCTCTTGTTCGAGCTTTGGGTTTTTCTTGCTCTTGTTTTTCTAGGAGGATTTGATCATTTTTAAGCTTTGAGTCTTCTGTCTGTAGTAGGCATCCATCCAAGTTATAATTGATCATATAACTTCTGTCTTTCTTTTTACTTATTTCTTTTCTTTTTTTTTCTTTGTTTTTTATGATAGGGTATCACTCAAAATTGCATCAATTTTCCTTCCTCAGCCTCCTTAGTTACTTTTTTCATTGCTGAGACAAAATACCCAACACTCACAAGTTAAAGGAGGAAATATTTATTTCTCGTCACAATTTGTAGAGTTCCAGTCCATCTTCAACTGATTCAAAGTTGGGTGGCATGGCAGAGGGGCATCACAGAGGAGAAATGGTTCATGGCAGGGCAGACAGGAGGCAGCAAGCAGAAGCAGTGAAATAGCAAAAGCAGTGCAGCAGCAAGCCTGCCACTCCTTTTTATTCCATCCAGCCTTTTGGGTGATGCCACTCATATCTACTTCCTGCATATAATAGTACAAGATAAGCATTTCTATTCCAAACAGGGGAATTAAAAGGGATGAGACCAAAGCAAGTCCAAAATCCAGCAGGGTAAGCAATACATCCTGTAGTTCCACATCTCACATCCAAGGCAGTTTGTGGCAAGATGTGAACTCCAAAGGGCTTGTATGGCCCTGCCTCTATGGTACTGCTGGTAGTTGCAGCTTCTATGGCTTCTCTATTGGACTTTGTTCAGTGCTTGCAGCTTTTCTCAGATGATCCAGGTTCCTGGCTTCTCCAGCTTGACCCTATTATGGATCTTGTAGTTGAGGGCAAAAAGGAAGAGACATTGATAAAAAACAATTAAGATGTGTTATGTACATGTACAACTCCCCATGATGAGTGTAATCATAATGTACTGCAAACATTAATAAAACTTTAAAAAAGGATACAAGGATAATACTGAGACAATGGACAAAAATAGAACAGATAAAAATCTGTCAGGTACCATTATATGTAATGAAGTTGGTAAATTGAATATAGTCAAATAATAAAAATATCCCTAATTTTGGAAAACATATATTTAGGAATAACGAGCCAATGCCTATATACCTTACCCTCAGTGTTTCACAAAGGATACACAAAATGAGAAGCAAATGAGGTAAAATGCCGATAATAGTTTGATTCTGTTGAAGGGTATATAAGTTTTCTTTGTATTTGTTGTTGTATTTCTAGTATTAAGAGTTGAACCCAGGACTTCACACATGCTCAATAATATACCACTGAGCCACATCTCCAGTCCTTTTTAATTTTAAGACAGGGTCTTGCTAAGTTGCCCAGGCTCACCTCAAACTTGCAATCCTCTGGCCTCAGCCTCCCAAGTAGCTGCAGTCTACTTGAGCTTTAATATATATTTATAGGCTAGAAAATTAATTTTATATAGGTCATTCTTTCAAATCTAAGCTCTTCTTAATTTGTGAATAATCTATATCACTTTGACGTATTTCTTTCTACTTTATAGTGGCTACCACTGGAAACAAATTCATTATATTCAGATATGGTATCCCCCTTACAGATCTCTTTTTAAAGGGCTAAAAATATGTTCATAATCATGCACTACAGTAACATTTCAAGGACCATATTAACATTCATTTCTCATAATTTCAGAACTTTTTGGACAACTTTAATATCCCAACAGATAATAATTAGTGCTTAGTTTTATCATAGATCTGAATTTACTTTGAACTGCAGACTAATTCCTTCCTGTAAGTTGAGCTTCTTTTCCCTCCAGTTTTTGAGACAGGTTCTCACTATGTAGCTCAGGCTAGCTTTGAACTTTGAATGATCTTCCTACCTCAGCCTCCCAAATGCTGGGATAACAGTCATACACCACCATACCTGGCTTATTCCTTTCTATAAAACATTACTAAAGAGCACACGTTGGCTAGGCATGATGGCACAAGCCTGTAATCTCAGCACTCAGGCTAAGGTAGGAGGAATGCCTTGTTCATGGGCATACAGAGTTTCTTCTGAATCCTTTCAGTTTTTCCTGGTATGTATCCAGAAGCATAATTCCTAGATCATATGGTGTATTAGTCTATTTTATGTTAATGTAACAAATTGCCAAGACTAGGTTAATTTATAACCATGAAAAAACTGGTTCTGCTGTCAGAAAGAGACAGCATGATGGGAAAAGAAAAGGTTTTATTAACAAGTTGGGAGCCGTCCATAGTGGGTGTACACCTGTGATCCCAGCAGTCTCGGAGGCAGAGGTAGGAGAATTACAAATTTGAGCGCAGCTTTGACAAACTTAGACCCTATTTAAAAAAGGATGAGATGTAGCCCAATGTGAACCTTCTAGGTTCAATCCCTAGTACCACCACCAAAAGCAGGGCAACGTGGAAAGGCTTACACCTGTGGCTGCCTTGCTGGTGCTGCAGAAAGTTTATAGCACCTTTCCTGAAAATGTTATCTCAGATCTCAGTTGGAACTAGATGGGCAGCAGAGTAGTTTTTTACTCTTCAAACATGGTCAGTTCTGGAATATAGTTTGTGAATGTCATATTTCAGTCTGGAGATCACTGAGCATCCTGGACCTGTAAAACTCAGAAAACATGATTGCTTATTCTTTGAAGGTCTCTGTGTTGTCTTAGCCAATCTATATTTCTTATGAGCTAGAAATGGAGAGGTCACACAAAATGGGTCAGGCATTTTAATTCTACTTTAATCAGTAAGATATAGAGCAAGGTGCTGGGAGCAAAGTTATGATAGTAGTTTTTCAGAAAATTTTCTGAGGTCATACTCCCAAGTATTTAAACTACTCTCCCAAACCCTCTCTTTCCCAGTACTGCCTCATTGGTGTCCAAACTTCTAAAATATGAACCTTTGAGTTCACATTGCACTGAAATTTTATCCAATCCATAGTATGTGGTGATCTTGTTCTTAGTATGTTTCTAAGGAACCAGCATTGTATTTTTCATGGCAGTTATATAATTTTATCTTCCTAGTACTGTACAGAGGCTCCAATATCACTGCATCTTTGTCAGTATTGCATGAGTTTTTAAAATAGTGTACTTTATTTTTTACTACCCATCCTAATGAGTGTGAGATGTTATCTCTTTGGTTTTATATTACCCTAGTGATTAGTGATATTCAACATGTTTTCATTGACCACTTGTATATCTTCTATTATAAGTCATTTTCATGTAATTAGCTTTGATTTCATGACTAGATTTTTACATGAAAATCAGGCAAATGAAAATTCTGAGAATTGTAATGTTTAGTAGAAGTGAAAATAGTGATTATACCAGTAGTTATGATAATCATTTTTTTTTTCCTGAATACAACCTAAACTCTACTGGGGAGAAAAAAGAGAACTTTTGGGGTTCTATAAGGGAAATTCATAAAGTGAGAATTCAGTGTACTTAGGAGTTAGAACTATAGAAAGCATATATGCCAAGCATAAGGTCACAGCAATCAGCCACTGTTATGACCTTGAAGTAAAAGGGGTTTTTGTTTAAACAGTTCCTTCAAAATAGTCCTGCTTTATAAAAATAAGTAGTTCTTTGCTGAGATACTTGTTATTCCCTTAAAAACAAGAGTTCAACTGAGAAATTAATTTTTGGTAAAGTGGCTAGAATACAAGTAAGTCAAATTGGCATTTACTGTGGCTTGTTAAAATGTAGTTCATAATAGCATGCAGTGAATATGACAAGAAATTTGTAAGATGTATTAGAATTATGACCCTTCACTGAAAACTATAAAAGACTGGAATGCGTGATGGTTAATTGATGGTGTCAACTTGAGTAAGAAATGCCTAAAATGGATCAGCATAGTTTTGAGTGTGGCTGAGGGGTTTTACTGGAGACAGAAGATCCACCATTGGGTACCTTGCTGCCTGAATGGTGTGCAGGAGAAACAGAAGAAAGGCTCATTTCTGTTTCTTTGGAGGAGCACCAGTCTTTGCCTTCACCTTGGACATTATCTCCCGGCTCGCCGCTCAGATTCTTCATCTTTCCAGCATGGACCCTTCAGGCTCCAACACAGACTCCAGCCTTCCATCGCAGACCCTTGGCCTTCTCATGTGGACTTGCACAGGACACGACAGTGAGCTCCAGTTCTCTTAGACTCAGTTCTTCGGGTCTCCATTGTAAAGATACATTGCATTCTTCCATGCCTGGCTCTGTGGCGACCATTGTAAGCCAATCTTGTAAGTTCTTATATATAGTTGTATAGCTTATATGTAGTTCTCTAGTAAGCACTGACTGATACAGAATGACTCAGTGACTCATATGCTTCGATGGAGAGACTTGATAGTGGTTATTATTAAAAGTTGATTAAGGATATTTCTTCCCAATTAATACATGTAGTATAATTCTTGTTGACAATAAAATTATTAATTTTTGAAATTCATTTGCAATGTGGGAGATGAATCAAGACAATTTGAAAACATTTCACAACTTGGGTCTGTTACATAGAATAAAAATTAGTGTTGGCTAAAATAACAAACGTTGTATTTATCCAGAAATAAGCAGACTAATAGAAAAGAATTGAAGACCCAGGGCTAGGGATTTAGCTCAGTGGTGCTGCTGCCTGCCTCACAAGCACATGGTCCCAAGTTCAATGCCTGGTACCAAAAAAAAAAAAAAAAAAAAAAAAAAAAAAA